CAAGAATCTCGGAAGGAAAAACATAGCAAAAAATCTCTAGCCTTAGCTGTTAGCTCCGATGGCCAGTATATAGCGACTGGAGGTATTTGTGGGATATCCGCACAAGAGAGCATGTCCAGGTAATAAACATACTTTTTAATCAACATAATGATCATATCCTGCCTAACGCGTGGTGGTGGTCTAGTGGTAGTTGTCTGGGGAAAAAGGAGTAAACTCGCTCTCCCTGAGTTCAACTCTCACTTAAAACACCTTCTTTGTGCGTTTGGCTAGTTTTCTCGGTCGGACTAACTCGTTTTGTGATTAGTCGGGCTTGTCTATGTTTGTTTAAACCTCATACCCTCTAGTCCGGTTTTCTTGGGTTCACTGTTTCTTGCTCTCAGCAATTTTAGCTATGTGTTGTCTACAGGCCTTTCCAGGTCACGGAGGCATTGTTTCTTGTCTATGCTTCAGACAAGAAACTGCAGAACTCTTATCTGGTTCTTATGATGGAACATTAAAGATATGGAATGCAGAAGATAAAAGCATATGTAGGCACACATTGTAGACACAAGGGTAGATTTCTAACCATTGATGCGCTACGAAGGGAGCTTGTACTCAGTGTTGGAAGCGATAGAACGCAGTTATTTAAGGTATAGGCTCTCCTTATGAAAACTGGATTCTAGTAATCTGAACGTAAGTCATGTTTTTTTTTTTTTGGCCTAATAGGTGCCTGAGAAGAGAATATTAATCTTCCGTGCTCCTGCACCGAGTCTTGAATGCGGCTGTTTCATTAGTAACGGTGAGTTTTTGTCTGGTTCGGATAATGGATGTATAGCGCGTTGGAGTATCTTAGAAAGGAAACCAGTTTCCATGGTTCAGGATGCGCACGCCGTGATAGCTGATGGATTGAACGCCAATGGAAACTTAGGTAAGCTCATATAGTATCTTTCTTGTTCTGTCTCTAAGAAGCTCACATGGTTTTTCTATTTTCTGCACATCAGCATGTTCTTGGGTCAGTTCAGTTGCTGTCTGTAGGCGTAGCGATCTTGCTGCATCGGGAGCTGGTAATGGTTGTGTACGTTTATGGGGTGTCGAAAGCGAATCTAGAGATATACGACCTTTATACGAGCTTCCACTTGTAAGCTTGTGTTCCTAGTTTGGCTCTCATTGCGATTTTGTGTGATGCATCTGTTACTTATACATCCAATGGTTATGATCTTCTTGCAGTTTGGGTTTGTGAACTCTTTAGCTTTTGCAAAATCTGGTCGGTTTCTAATCGCCGGTGTTGAACAGGTACGCATTTGCCTATGACATGACATCCATTCTCTGTGAATGCCAATATTAATTGTTGTGTTTGGAAACTTTTGGTATATGGCAGGAACCGCGGCTCGGAAAATGGGGCCGCTTAAAATCTGTGCAGAACGGTGTTGCAATACATCCACTAAGGCTTTCATGAAAGGATATCACTTTTACATTGATTCAAGTTTTGTTAACAGAACATTCGTGTTGCTCTTTAGCTTTTCTTGGTATTGAAAAGCATCCGCAGAATTCAAAAATGTGATCCAAGAACTCAAGATGCAAAACTTGATTATTTTACCAAAGATTCGGATGCAATGACCACAAACTAGCAACAGGAAGAAGGGAAACATAGACGCAGAGAGGTTATTAGATGAATTCTAGCCACTACATCCATTTAGGCTTTTGGATTCTCTGGAGACAAACTTCCTCAGAGAATCTCTGTCCTATACCTCTGCGACTCTTGTCATTACAATTATATCAAGTATTAAGCCGTAGAAAATGAGCTATCCTAGATCGAAGCAAACGCCCAAAAGAACAAGCAAATTGAACGAAGAGGCAGAAACAGGACATCGTGTCTTAGGTAACAACATTCTGCAGAACTTCAGGTATGCATTTCTCATATACTACTAAATAACAGGATCCAGCACTAAGCTCACCAAGCACAAAACCCAAATCTGAATCAAGGAGTCTTGGTGTAGATTCCAAATTACTCTAAATTGTTTGTTACTATTCACTGTATCAAGGAGTATGATTTTGGTGAGGATGACCGATTACACCAAGTTTAAGCTGATCACTCCTAACTTCTAAATTATATCACATGACTCAATGGAATTCCCAGAGGTCAGTAGAAATCAAAGATATTTCGTAAACCCTAGTGATCAAGGTGTATAGTACATACACAGAATACCGAAAAACAAAGAAGATGATAATAGTTCCCATTCGAGTGCCGATAAAATGTCGAAAAAGACCAAACGTTGAAGTTTGAGTTAGTGTACTACTCTATAGTGCTCAAATACCATATAGCCAATCTTATTTCAGGTAGATAATAGATCACAAAGTAATCATCAATGATAAAAAGTTGTTATTTCGATCGAATCCCGATCAACACAAACTCATCTTCCAACGCCACCAAAAAAAAACCAATTTTCTCTAACCTTTTAAAGATCATCTCAATTTTTCTTTACTTGAGCTCTTCTTAGCTGCATCCATAACCCTATCAAGATACCCTTCAATAGGCGGTGTAAGCGTAGCCATACCTCGATTCGCCGGAAACGGAGTCAAATCAGGCTCTAAAGCTGCCTTCTTCAGAGTCTCCGGCAATGCTTCAATCGCAGCTTTCTTCAAATTCAACAGATTAGTCTCTGCAACACGTCTCACTCTATGCTCTTTCATAAGCACTTTACTATACGCCTTCGCGAGTCTCTTCCCGTCTTCCACCGTAACCTTGTACTTCGGTAACTCATCCTCCGTGAAAATCCCTAACGAAATGTAATCCAATCCTGGAGTCCCAATCCTCATCGGCTCGTCTGTAATGACTCCCATGGTAAAAGATCCACCTTTCTTCTGAATCTCGATCTCTCGTTGTCTGTCTTTGCTGATTAGACCTAGCT